CATCAAGCTGATTGAGGAGTTCTAACATAGTTCTTTGAATCTCGCGTTCTCCTCCGCTGTTACTATCGTATCGTTTTGTGCCAACAGCATCGATTTCATCTATGAATACGATCGAAGGAGCGTGTTCTTCCGCGACTCTAAATAATTCTCTTACAAGTTTCGGGCCATCGCCCAGATACTTCTGTATGAGTTCAGAACCAACAACTCTTAGGAAAGTGGCTGACGTCTGATTCGCTACAGCTTTCGCTAATAATGTTTTACCCGTTCCTGGAGGACCGTAAAGTATGACTCCTTTGGGAGGCTTGATACCCATTTCTTCGTAATATTCCGGATGAGTTAGGGGCAATTCTACAGATTCCTTGATTTCTTGAATTTGCGTGTCAAGCCCTGAAAACCAAAACATATACAGTTTTTTTTCTCTAAAGGTTTATATCACCATACAATATTATGATTAGAAATAGAAATTTAAATGGCTATAGGAATGTAGACATTGTTGTTACATGTAAGGTATCCAATTCTCCGTTGCCAACAATAATACAAGCATTAACATTTACCACCAATATCTGCATAAGTTTCTTGTGGAGCCTTTTCTAATTTCATTACTGTAACCATAGGATCTGTATCATCACCCAATACTCCAACAACTGCATGAACTTTATGATTTAATAGGACAGAACAGCCAGGTTCTAACTGATCTTTGTCTACAAATGATAAGATAGACACATAATGCTCAGAACCAACGGATGTGGAAACTATGGCATGATTATCATCTATTATTTCTTCTAATGTTCCTACAGACATTGGAGTTCCTCGTAAGTCATCAACCTTAGACCTTTCTTCTTCATTTTTCTCTTCCTGAGGCTTCAGCCTTTCTTGGTTTCTGATAAACTCTTCCTCCATTAATAAATAATCTTTTATACGTTCTAGCTTCAGAAGCTTTAGTCTGCAACGGGTGTGAGGAGTGACTTGAGGTAACTTTAAAGCAGCATCTGGTCCCTTAATACGTCTCTTCTTTTTGCCCACTCTTGTCGGAATAGGGGGCTCATACTTCTTTTTCTTGTCTTTGTCATCCTTCCTGTCACCTCCTGTACCTCCAGTACCAGACTGATTTTGCCCCTATTATAATTAATACAGTGTAAAAAGATAAAATTTGATCGCGGCTGTCTACTCATAGAAAACTTTATTTTTAGGATTATGACATTTAATTCGACACAAAAAAGGTTGCTACTACAAATGAAATTAACCTAAAAATGTTAAACAAAACGAGAATATATGTTTAATGAACAACCTTAGAATTATGTTATCAAAAATTTTGTTCAACATTTCGCTGTACATTGTTTAACATAAAACTAATCGATTATTTTACATTGAATCAGAAAAGCTTGTGAGTATTACCATTTCACGTTCACCGTTTGACCATTAAACGAAACGGCGAGTCATTCCCCGTGTGTGAGCAGAATCGATACTAAATTCGATAGTTTCTTTCCATGAGATATCGAAATACTCGATGAACTAGAACAAAATTTTTTCAACGCTCTTTTAAAGGTACTTATCCCTAGCATTTTTATAGTTAATATGAGATATACCTTTAATTAACCGTAATTTTAAAGTCAGTGAATTAAGAATAACAAACTATGTATTTTTTGATTAAGTAACTTATAGTGACATGACTTAGTATAGCTTTTTATTTAATAACAATAATAATTTACATAATTGCGTTCGACAATAGTTACGATCGGTTGTAAAGTTATTATGTCACTAGAAAGACGTGTAAACTTTCATTTAATGTCATGCGTGCAGAAAAATTCAGTAGGAATGATTCTCTATTCTCTTTGTTCTCGTTGCAACAACGCTGACGACGTACAGATTTGTGAAATTTTATTTCAATTATTCAGATACATTTATCCCTGCAATAAAGAATCCTCTAACATTTTGACTAACGCTTCTTTATGACGTCTCACTGGTCAAGGCCATCCGAATAAAAATATAATTAAAAACAATAAAATGACCGTTACAAACGTTTCTGGCGATTGTTTCGTTTCTGAAAAATATAAGCATGCGTATCGCTGCATCACATATTATAAACTTGTAGTTACAAAAAAATGTATTGCCCAGCAATATAAGCGACGTAGAAAACAAGAGCAATTGTGAAGCACTTGTGAATAATTAATCGAAAATAGCCTTTCATATGGTAAAAAGTATAATTATGTTTCCAACAGTTCATGAAGCAGAAATTTCTTATATTACGCACATGCTTTTCCGTTTTAATTCAAAGATTAGCCTCATACTCCATTTCTTCCTTAACGTTTAATTCTTACGTAGTGTATTCTAAATTTGAACCACAAGAATGTTAAAAAATACCTTTGCTTTCTTCATGCAAATACAATTCTTGTATATGGCGTTTTTGGTTCAAGCATGGAAATATTATACGAAAGAACGTATCGGTTTAATTAAATCGTAACGCGTGTCATAGTAATCTCTGTGTTGAATACTGAAATACGAACTGATTGAAATAATACTTCGACAATGTGAAGTCTTCGAGTACAAACGTGTCAGATGTTATCTCGTAATCCTATTTTCTCTTCACTCTCACTTATCACAATGATTCGTAAGTATATTCCGGAATATCTTCGGTTTGTAAGTAAAAGCCTAGATGAACAAAATATAATACAACGTGTAGAAAAACGTTTCTGGAAGTGATGAGAGGCGTATTCGAAGCGATTCAATGAAAGTGTTTTACGGTGTTTAAAGGCCAGCTATGATGATCCTGGGATCTTCCACGGCTTCCTTGATCTTTCTTAAGAACAACACAGCCTCACGTCCGTCAATTAATCGATGATCGTACGTTAAAGCTATGTACATCATTGGACGAATTACAACCTGAAATACAACGATATTATTAATAGCGAGTGTTTTAGATAAACCTTAATTTGAAAGTAAAATTTTATTGGTTACCTGGCCCTTTACTGCAACAGGTCTATCAAACACTCCGTGCATTCCAAGAATGGCACTTTGTGGTGGATTAATTATGGGCGTTCCCATGAGAGAACCGAAAACACCGCCGTTACTTATTGTAAACGTTCCACCGTCCATGTCTTCTACGGATATTTTACCTTTCCTCGCTTTATCGCTTATGGCAGCCAGAGCAATCTCAATCTCAGCGAAGTTCTTGTTCTCTACGCTACGAAGAACCGGTACGACAAGACCCTTCGGTGTTGCAACCGCAACACTGACATCGACATAGTCTCTATAAACTATGTCAGTGCTATCTATTACAGCATTCACTACTGGCTGATCCTTCAAAGCGTAGGCACTTGCTGCAATGAATGGACTCATGAATCCAAGCTTCAGACCGTATTTCTTCGTGAAACCTTCTTGATTCGTTTTACGGAAGTCTATCAGGCGACTGTAAAATATACAATTGACTGATTAGTACGAAACGGGATAGTACAAATAAGTTACAGTGAACGTATAACAACCTCATATCGACTTCATTAAATGTTGTTAACATAGCGTTCGTGTTTTGAGCATCTTTTAATCGTTCCGCGATGCGTAATCTCATTCTATTCATTTTTACGCGTTGCTCTGTCCTCGTACCAAGTATTTCTCGTGTGTAATCAGAAGGAGGTAGTTGAACTTTGGCACCTTCTAGGGACTATAAAAGTTTCCGAATGTACAATGCGAATAAAATATGACGTTAGTCTTTTGGAAAAATTATTCTAACGACGATTCGTCGGTACTGCAACTAGCTTGATCAGGAGTTAAATGATACAGCGATACCGTAACTAGTATCATATAAATACTATGCTACTATGTATGTAGAAAACACTAAAACTAGTAACAATGTTGACGAATGATGTGAGAATTTTTTCAAAGAAACATGGTTTACACCCATAAGACTTAAAATAGTAATAATTGAATAAAATATAATTGAAAGGTGCATTCAGTTACATTCATATTATAATTTTTACCTGGGCATGTTTGATTGCAGCAACTGGCATAGAGGCTGCAGGTGCTTGTGGAGGAGGAGGTCTGGCTGCTGGAGGTGGTACAGCTGAAGGGGCAGGTGCTGCAGATGGAGGTGGAGGAGGTGGGGGTGGCGGAGGAGCGGCTGTAGAAGGAGGAGGTGTTTCTACAGAAGGTTTTGGAGCTTCAGCTGCTGGTACAGCGCCACCAGTAGCACCAATGTCGAGGGTACATAATTTCTGTCCTGGTTTCACAGTTTCTCCATCTTTTGCAAAAATTTCTTTGATAACACCAGCACCAGGTGATGGTACAGGAACTGAAGTCTAAAGAAAGATTACCATAAAATGATTAGTGTTACAGCTATAGTCTTACAACTTCGTTTAATACATTTATTGTGTTGTCCGTTTACCTTATCTGTTTCAATTTCACATAAAACATCATCTTCTTTAACTTGGTCACCTACTTTCCTTTCCCATCTTACGTCCCCTTCGCTTACGCTTTCCGCGAACGCCGGTACAACAACTTCCTTTAATTCCCCTGTAGAGATTGAATAGAGTATTATTATACCTGTATGTGACTATTTTTAGTTTACTTCTTGAATGCCTCAAAACTGACTTACATAATGATGATGTTGAATGAATATGTCTTGCCTGCTCTATCCAACAGTGAAATTTCTTATATTTTGTACACCTATATGCATTTTCATCAAAGTTAAGATATTATTGTATTTGTACCAATTGCTTAAGTTGTTTTTAACATAAATTTGTTATGCGTGCAATTTTTAATCTATTAATACATATTATTCACTTACAATCGAGAACTCTTGTTGATCACATGTTCGGTGTGGATAAATAGTATGCACCCTACAAAAATGATTTGATACAATTAATAGTTTATGTTTCATGGTTATCTCCAACGTTGCTATGCCTCTCTATAAAGACAATGTTCAGATTTTCAACATATCTCACCACTTTTTTAATGTACTATCTTCAATACCAATTAGTCTTACCTTGACTACTGAAAGACCTCACAACCTGAAAAAATCACAAGTATATTTAATTTGCATTTTATCACATAATTCATAACTAAATTAGAACATAAACTTTCCATATAATGTGAATAGAATGTATAAGTGATATTTTTCTTAGATAGTGACACAGAAGTATGATGTATGGGACAAGGAAAAATAGTAGGACTTCAAAATGATTGGTTCAGAGACAGTAGAAATAAATCGCTCATTTAAACAGTTTTTCCTTGTGGTTTGATGATCCTGATTAATTAATTCTTCCAATGACAGATTATATAGATGATGGATCGAGTCAAGGATACGGTAACTGATAAGATGGTCTTATATAACCGATCCGAAAGGTAAGGGTAGTATTGCAACAATCTTGTTGGCAGATTCTACTTGAAAAAGGTGTTCGGTACTTCTTACCTAATGTATGTGTCACAGATGTTCCGAGACTAATGAGAGAAGATATTTAATGATTACTAGGAAGAACTCACCTTCGTTCGTGATACACTAATTCGCGTTAAAACACGAGGCACAAGCCGCGGACAGTTGGACAACATCGCGGCCATCCTCAGACGGAAAATTATACTCAGGTGTTCGTTCACGACTCTCGTGACGGGTGGTGACGGGGAGGAAGCAGCACAGGGCCGTCCAATTTGTGGTGGGGCTGCGGGTATACGTGTGTGTTCTGAAATGTCCTTCTAGTGAGTTCCAAATCGTTCATAATAATTAGAACCACAAACTTCATAAATAAAAAAATCGAAATTCATTTCGTCAAATTAATATTATGTGTTTAAGTAATACAAGTTTTCGTGTTATGTAAATAAAACGAAACAAGTTATAGTTTTTGTAGCTTTAGTCTGATTACGCTTAAAATTGTGGTATCAGATGTTAAACATGCCTGGACGAGCAGCATATGAAGTGTGCTTTATTTCGCATTTCATTTTCCTAAATACATTATTTATTTGGATGAAACATTATATTAAACGAAACATAATAGAAAGTACCACTACTTATGCTGTGATGTTCAATGGCCTATAAATCATTTTCAAAAATATAAAAAAAATACACAAATCTTTGACTCAGGGGAAAATCCCTCTGGAAATCCTTAAGAAACATTTTTCATCGAAGAGTGTATTTTGATGTATTTTCTTTTTCAAATGCCACATACATATAACACTGAATATCACAGCATACGAGAAAATTCCAGTTCCGACGGTTCCGACTTGTGAGTTTCGAGTCATTTCGAGTTTTCAAAGCGACTGGGCAAGGTGCCAAATTCCCTACTCCTCTCATGAGACCCTTTTTTAACTGTCAGACCCAAACCTCTTTTTATGGTTCACGCTGGGTTTCTTATCTTTTTATTCGTTACTTCCAAGTATATTTCTGCAACTAATTGGAACCTACGTAAATGTTCACATCAGTTCAAATGTCATCAAATGTAATCCGTACATGAATCTCTGATGAACGTTATTAAAAAGATAAATGCGACCATGGAATCAGATTTATTAATTACGTTAATATCGCACGATTAAGTGCTAGAAAACGATCTCTATTATTGAAATCAGACTGAACAGTGTAAAACGTATATAACAGCTGATAATGATGAACCTGTCACTAAGATTACTTCTGGGACTATTCCATAAGCAGATTACCAACTCATATTCTATAATGGTAGATAACAGATTCTACTTAAAATAGACCAACGATCAATTATTTTACAACTTATTTTCTGTCAAATTGATCCGTCAAAGAAGGAATTAAGTAAATAATTTTGGTTTAGAAATGATTGCAGATTCGAAGCTACGGTTGAAAACATTACGAACGATCTCTACTAGATTCACGAGTTCGTGGCTGAATTTGGGTTTTTAAACGTGAACAGGGAAGATCTAATTCAATGAATTGAGTACGGTGCAGTGGTTGTGCATTGTATACGGATTTGTTATGAACGGAACACGCGATAATGTTTGATCGTTAATTATCGTGTGAAAGATCGAAATGTACAGGAGACAGTTCCGTTAATTGCAATCATTTGACAGCGAACTGTACGTTGTTTATCGAGGTTGTCGAGATTTATTGTGCAACATGGCGATTATATTTGAATGATAAGTGCACGTCGTTTTGTTGTTATTTCCCTTACATCGGCAGTATCACGTATTTTATCGAACGGTAGTACGAAAATTATTTTATCAACGCTGATCGCAATACATGTCGTTGGAAATGAAATTCACAGTAGCTGAGTAATTTTGCCGAGAAGGTTAAGGACACTGTCGAAGATACTTCATGTATGTTGATATTGTTTCTCGCACGATTTAAAAATAATATTTACACTAAGTTGTAATTTCTCAAACGGTTGAGGTTATAGCTTGGAAGTTTTAGAATGTGTGTTATTGCAGATTTTCCAATTCCTAGAAAGGGTTTCTGTGCACAGAGAAATGAGACCCTGACAGTATAAACTATGCAGCATGTGAACATTGACACAAACGAGTCAGTGCGTTTCGGGAGTTTCATGACGGTTAAAAGAACTGTAGATTCAAATGCACTATAATAATTAGAGTATCAAAATCAACAGTGTGATGAGTGGCAGTGGATTCAGAGGAAGAGGCTTTGGACCACGGGGTGCTCGTTCAAATGGTCCATCCAATGGCTTCAGTGGACCCAGGTTTCCACACCCAAGTTTTAATCATCCACGACCACCACACAGATTGTCAGGGCCAGAGAAATGGGTAGAAGGTCCAAATTTTAAACCATGGCAACAGAACAAAGGCTTTCTTGGAAGGCCACAATATAGGGGTAATTTACAATTTAGGCCAAATGGCAGAAGTAGAGCTGCTAATAATGGCAGGGGAATAGTAAGGTTTCCTGGACCTGGTAGACCATCAGGTCCTCAATTTTGTATGGGTTTCGTAAGAAATTCTGGTCCTAGGCTACCATTGCCACCGCAAGAAGAACAAATAATAGAAGCGGAAAAATCGTTAGTGGTGCCACAGACCCCTTTGCTGGGCTCTGAAGAAGAACGTCAACAAAAAATTACAGAGACAGCTGACAAATTAAAAGAGAAATTATCTTCAATAACAGAAGAGGATATGACAAATTTTTGGGAAGATGATTTATCCCTATTACCAAATAGTGGTTCTGAAGAAGGAATTGTTCAAATGAAGGGTATTCCCGAACTCAGACATGAACCACCTGAACTGGATTTAACTTTTACTGACTTCAGAGATATAGGAAGGGTGGACTGTAATAATTCGAAATTTGATAGTACAGATGATACGGGCAATAACGACGATATTTTGATCACCTATGAAGGTGAGGGTGTAACTGAAACTGCAAGTACAAACAATGAAATTATTATCATAAATCAGGAAAATCCTTCAAATGTCTTAGAATCAGTGCATAGCAATCATGTTCTGGATCAGTCAGATACGTTTCCGGAAGAAGATAGATGCGAAGAACAGATATTCCATGAGTTGCCTAACCCTGAATGTAATTTGGAAAATTTAGATTTTCAGTGTGATAATATTACAGAAGTTGTACAATCTTCTGATAGAAACACCAATGCAAATCCAATTTTAGACGAGAACATAACGGATTACGCATTGATGCAACCTATAGATGATCTAATGAATGAAAATCCTTTAGCATTTAACGATGAAAACACAATTCCCACGTCTGTGTCAGCTTTAAACGATCAAGACGTAATACCGGTAGATTTTTTGCAGAATCAGGATACATTACAGGATATAGATACAAGTGCTGCACAACATATTAATACTGATACATATGAGGATGACCATTTAGGTGTGGATCTAAACCAGCAGGATAATGAACAAGCGAGCTTGTCACAGGAAGAAGTTTGCCAAAATTCAGAGAACAACTCCGATTCTGGACAAAATAATTCAGCTACACTTCCATCTCCCAGTGAAGAAATTCAGTTGAATTCTAACTGCGACTCGAAATCTCCGACATTTCCACCGTTCAACGAAATACAGACATCGTCATTAAATGACGATAAGAAATTGAATAATCCGCCTCCTTTCCAGCCAAGGGTATTCAATATACCTCCTAGGTTCACCCCCAGAATTCCTCCTGGGCCCAGGTGTCGGTGGTCGTTCCAACAGAATGGAAATAATGTATTTTTCAGGGGACCACAGAGATTACCGTTTCGTGGAAATCGAATCCCTCCACCGAGACACATCGGACCGTACAATCCAGCTGACATAGGTCCAGCCGCATTTGGCCCGTGCCCGCCACCGCCGTTCACACATACTGTACCTGTCTCGGGCCATGACCCTCAGCATCATGCTCTAGTGCCATTCTCCTCTAACGATTTGCTTCCCGCGTTCGACCCGAGCGAACCACCGCCAAACATACGGTCGATATCGGCGACCGAATCGTCTAACAGACAAGAAATTCCACAGGCTATGTCGTCACCGTTGGATTCCAACACTCAAGGAACCATCGTGCCGCCGTACGACATGGAAATTCTGCAACCGCCTCCCTCTTTCGATCCCAGGATCGTCCTGATGAAACCGAACGAAAAGTTACCGGAATTCAATCCTCAACAGCCACCGCCGAAAATCCACAAACGTGACGAGCTTCTTCAACCGCCGCCGATTTTCGATCCACGACTGTCCTCGCAGGAACGTTCCAAGCTAATCGCTCCGTTGAACGCCCCTGGATCTCACATGATGAGTATGAACGTAATGGAAACGTCGCAACTGTCGGACTTCAGTATAAATTCCGTCGCGGCGAATTTTTCTCAACCGCCGCCGTTCATACCTAGTCTGCCGGTTAATTTCCCACCCGTTTTGCCACAGACAAGCAGCGGACCCGTGATCGTGCAAGACTTTGGATTGCCACCGCCGCCAATAAATATCGCCAATGTTCCTCCGCCACCGCCCCAGGAGAACACGTTGCTAGTGGATTCTGGCAACCAGCAGGGTATAAGTATGGACGATGGATTGGAGGACATGCAGGAGGCGATGGAATTCGCGAAGCAGATAATGAATATGTCGGTGGACACGAAGGACAATCAGGATACATCGTCGATGGTATTGGAAACGGAATGTACACCATCGGATATTCCTGTCCCAAAAGATAGTGTAGTCTGTACTTCGTCGGTGGATCAAATGCATTTAAACGTTGGGAAGAATCAAAAGAAGGAGAATAAAAGTAAGAAGATGAAAGAGACCACGGTTTGCGAGTCGGAACAGATTGAAAAACAAGATGCCGTTCAAGTGGTCGAGGAGGAACAGAATGTACGGAGTCAGGTTAAGATTACCGAAGATATAACTTTGTTGACAGGTGATCAGATACGTCCGAAAGTGGTGTTCAATTTAAATTCGAAAACGAAGGTGCTGCAAAAGCAGGAAGAGTGGCACAGGCCCTCTTTAAGTGGATCCGATAATAATAGAGAGACTTCTCAACAAGCTACAACTGTGAATCCGTCGAAAGAAAAGAAACAGTCCAAGAGATATTCTAACGAGCGTAGAAGGGGTAAGCAGCAGATCAATCTCATCGCCAGGACCATGAGAAAGATGTGGAGAAATCTGCTGTACACTCCTCCACCTCCTCCTCCTCCTCCTCCTCCTCTTCCTCCTCCTCCTCTTCCTCTTCGACTGTAAAAATACCGAATAATGTAATTGCGCCGAAAATTCAAAGATCCAGAAGAGAGAATAAAAAAGTCTTGGAAACGGCTACGTCGGAATCCTCCTGGAAGAACCGAGTGATCAGTCGTTTCCTGAAGATGAGCAAGAACGACATTTGTAATATGGTGAACAATTCGAGTCTACGGAAGTTCGATATCGCGATGAAACACCTGGTGAAAGAACGACGTTCCACGTTGTCCTTGAAGATGCGCAACACCGAGCACGAGAAGATGAAAGAGTACGACAGGGAGGAGTTCATGAACCAGTTGAACGCGATGCTGGATTCAGGCGCTGTGGTCGGTATCACAGATCTGCCCACGGAGTTTATTCATCATTTAAGCGAAGTTCTCCAATTGGATCCTATGCCGTCCGATATCGAACCGCTGGAGACACAGAAAACGACGAACATCGATGAAATCGTACCTTCGATTCAGAACAACAGTTCAGGTATCTATCCCTCTGAATATCTCGACAAGACGAATATCGAAGTCGAATCGATTGATCATCTGAAACACGATACGTACACAGAGCAGGTGGAAGACAAGCACGCGGGGGAGGAACCGTCGCACTGTCCTTCGAATACAGAACTGAATTTAAACCTTTCACGGGAAGACACCAGCTCGTCACGAAAGTCACTGCCAAGTAAATCGAATTCCGAGGTAGAAATCACGCATAAAAAGCAACAACCGTTGTTCAACGAGGCCGATCTCGATGACATCTTGTCGCAGGTGACCGAAAGGACGAAACGTTTCCCGAATGTGACTTCAAGACGGTTTATAGAAACCCGTAAAGCACCTCCTCCGCAACCAACGACCGAATCTCTCGAGTGTAATCAGTCTTTTCCGCAGATTTCCAGCTCAACGGTGGCTGATCTCGACGACATATTTTCGGCGGGAATCGCGCGAGCCAAGTCGCTCAGTAAAAGCGCGGAATCGGGTACATCGAGATCGCGAAAATCGAATTCCGAGGATCGAAGCACCTTCAGATATGAACGATACGAGAGATGGGATCGAAAAGAACGACATGATCCGGACTCGTTCAGGAACTTAACGAAAGAAGAATGGGACGCCAAGTATGGAACGATAAGTACGAGCGCGACATCAGCTGCCATATGGAAAAATGCCTCCAACAGCGCCGAGAACTTGACCGAAGACAATCCGAATTATCACCAGTCCCAGAGGTACTGCTCGTCAGACTCACCGACGAGACATTTAAGTCTTAGTCCTCTACAGCACGAGCTGTATAATCAGGACCGATACGTTGATCGTTACAACGAGACAGAGGAAGAACCGAGGGTAATGGAACGGTCCGAAAGTAGCGACGGGTCCAGTACAAGTAGTTCAACCTACACCGACGAGGAGACCGTTGCTCCAAATGTCACAAAATTGTTGAAGGTGATCAAGGAGAAGGAGAAGATCGCGAAAAAGAAGTCGCTGAACGAGACCATCAGGGACGAGGTGACTGCCGAGATCGAGAAGAAATGGAAAGAAAAAAGCAAGCACAAGGAACGTAGATCACGGAAACGCGAGAAACGGAAAAAAGACAAGAGGGAAAAGCGAAAGAAGGAGAAAAGAAGGAAGCGGAAGAGAAGTATCGATGCATCTAGGTCCAGCGAGTGTTCTGGAGAGTATCGGTTGTTAACGGAGGATGAGATTAAGAAGGAGGTGGTCGTTAAAGAGGAGCCGTTAAGCACGATCGAGGATAGCGTTTCTCAAGGATTTAATAGTGAAACTAACAGCGTTACTCACGTTGCTCCTGCTATTACCGGTACAACAGTGGAGACAACTTCCTGGATTGAATCGCAGAGTTCACAAATGGAGACACAAATCCCTGCAACAACCACTTGCGACAAGACAACGGTCCAGGCTAAGAAGAAACCAACAATCATATCAATGAGTGTGCAACCAAAGACCAAAGCACAACTGAAACAGATGCCCGATTCCACTGAATTGGAACAGAACCAAGTTCTAGAAAGATCAATTGAAGCGAAGAGTACAGTTGACGTACATAACACAACAACCACTGACAGTGAAATAACGAATAAACCAGCGGAAGAGGCTAAAGGTTGCGAAGTAGCCGAATGTCACAATGAATGGACAGATACTTCTTCGTGTTCAAGCAGCACCGTACCTCAGACCAATGTGTTTTCACATGTTATAGAGCAGTCGCATGCAGCAGAAGATATTAGTAATGTTAATGCGACGAACGAAAGTGGTCAAACAGCTGAACAGAAAACACATGCAACTGATACCCTGTCAACAGAAACGAAAAGTGGATACAGGAAGATAGATATAAAGGCGTACAAGGAACGTGCTCTGCAAAGACGGTTACAGGAAGAGGCTAAACTAAAGGAATTGTCCAAAAGTCCTGTCTCTACGCCTCAGAATCTGTCTCAGCCTACTTTATTGACGAATAAGACAAGTAACGAATCTGAGATATTAAGCATGGAGAAGGAGATTAAGATAGTACCAGAGGTGGAGAGTAAAATTCTTTTGAAGGATCCACGATTAGTTAAAAGAAAATTGAGTCAGTCGGTGAGTCCCTCTTCGTCAGATTCTAACAAAGAAACAAAGGAAAAACTTAATTTGGAAGAAGAATGTCAGAACGCGGATATTTCTCAAGAAACCAACGAACCCTCAGTTCCTGCACAGTCACAGAGTGTCAACGAATCATCGGAAATCAAAGATAAAGAAAAGACTGTAAGTTGTTGGGACCGCAGAAGCGATGATACGTCGTTTCATCAGGAAAGGACAATCAGGGAGTCAGAGCATTTCAAAGCGACAGTTGAATCCACTGTAGAATTAGAAGAGAAGAAATCAAAGAAATCGGCCACAGCTGAATCCATTAGGTTCAAGAATATTCGGTCAGAAGGAAGTAAAGAATTGAAATTGAAGAAAGAGAAGAAATCAGCAGAAAAAAAGTCGAAATCCAAGTCTTTGTTGAAAGAGAAAGAGATAAAACAACCACTCATAACTGAAGAGGTATGCAAAGTATTGACCGAAAATCTAAACAGTACTGTTCAGACTGAAGTTGAGAAGACAAGTGCAAGTGACACCTCCAAATCGGTGCAAAGTGGAGAAACAAAAGAAATCTTCTTAGACTCAACAATGTCCATTGATAATGTTGCAACAGAAAGTAGCAGTAAACATGACATTAGTCAGGAAGAAATTAATATTGATACCACGATAGAAAACAACAGCGAAGAATTTATGAATATTAATGACAAGATAACAGATGTAGATAATCAACAAATTACGAATCAAGTTAACAAAGAAATTACAGAAGTGCAAAAAATAGACGAAGGAGGAAGTGAAACTGGAAATACGGAAAATTTAACAATTTCGAAACCTGAAGAAAATAACGTTCAGGAAACTGAAGGAAAAGGATGTGAATGTTTTGACGTAAATGCTGCATTATACGAATCTGTAACGACTGAAGAATTCAATAGAGGAGAGTTTATGACCGAAGAAATCGCACCTGTTAACATTACTCCATCCGTTTCCTCTGAAGAATGTATTACCGAAGATAAATCTCTAGATAATTTGGTACTTGTTACTGAGGATCCACATCATTGTCACCAAGAACTGCATTTGGAGGGAGAATATGATTGCTTAGATAAGAACCATGACTTACAAGATACTGTAATGGATGAGAGCTCCACTTTGCAAGAAAATGAATCCAGAAATATAGAAATGATTCCACGGGATGCCTCTGAGAGTGGTGCAGATTTAGAAACTAAAGTAGACAATGAAAATTTGGAACTGAATGGTTCCCCAATTCAGACAATTGAAGATGTACAGTCCTCGAAGACTTGCAATAAGATTGACGTAAGTGAAGTAAAATCTCCTGATAGTTCTGGTAGCCCGTTTAAAGGTTTCTTCGCAGAATTTATCGAAGAAGATATTCGTCAAGTGTCTGAATTATATGACATAAGAATGAAAAATAAAGATGAAAAAGAAAGTACAATAGAAGATTCTACCAAGTGGTTGGACACTTGTGTTAAAGATAAACATAACGTGAAAGAAGACGATAGAACTGATGATAATGGTACTCGGGAAATGAAGGATACTGGTAGTGTAATATTAACAGACAAATCGGTGGACGAGCAACCAATTATCACTACAGATGGCACTGTCGGCAACACAGTCCCCGATAATTACGAAGCTGAAACAAAAACATTACAGCTGGAAAATGTTGACATAGTGGAGACACCTCAAACTAGTAACATAGATATGGAAGAAGAGGATCATTTGTCTGTCCATGATTTAGATGGTCAGGACACGTTCAATGAAGACGGAGTACCCTTTATTGTATTGGATGAGTACATAGATGATACAGACGGAAGATCTATCGATAAATTAATTGACATTGATCTGGAATTAGAAGATTGCATTGCCAGGGATACAGAGACATTTTTAAGCGACTCAAAGCAGGATGGAAGAAGTTCGGTAGATAACTTCAAGTCGCCGAATTTCAACGCAATAGACTTCGAGGAACTATCGGAAACCTTAGATATAGGTGATGATATATCTCCTGAAAGTGAGAACAAGGTGATTGAAACGAATTTGAATGTAACTTTACCTGGGCATGAAGAGAAAGATACCACAAATATTACAAATGTTTCTTCTGATTTAAATGAGTCAAGTAACGCTGAGCCAAATACAGAAACATTACAGAAGTCTGAATTGGTAAATCCCGTAGAACCAGAAGTTCCTGTAATATCCTCAGAAAAGGATGCAACACTTACTATAGATATTCCTCAGCAATCTCCAGTGCTTGAATCATCGTGTACAGAAGTGGAAAAGATTGAGCATAATTCTGCGTGTTCTGAAACAACAGAGAACTTGAGTGTTCCAACAGAAAACTTGAGTGTTTCAACAGAAAACTTAAGTGTTCCAACAGAAAACTTAAGTGTTCCAACTGAAAACTTAAGTGTTCCAAAGGAAAATTTAAGTGTTCCAGAGGAAAACTTATGTGTTCCAACAGAAACTGCCTTTAGAACGTCATCAGAGGACTTGTCTTTGATTACTGCACTAACATCTGAGACAAATGTTGAATCCTCACAGTTGAACAAAGAACCTGATAGATTTGCAAAAAGAGACGAGGAGGAACAGCATAAGGGTAACACAATTTCAGTTTCTCCTGATGTAAGGATATCTGTTGATCACGATGTACATTCTAATGTTAATAAAGAACAAAGGAAACCAGAAAAATTGCACGATAAACATGAGACAAAGCATACAATTAAATCGGTTCGTAAAGAGGGAGATGAAAAGTTGCACAAAGTGAAGGATAAATCTAAAATGAAAATCAAGCACCACAAGAAACGCAGTCTCTCTAAACATCAATTAAAGGAAGCAGTCGCAGCTGATACAGTGAAACCGAAGTATCCGAATACCAAGGAAGCAATCATGGCTAGAATGATTGAAATCGATGTCGAGATTCACAAACTGATGACAGAGAAAATGACACTGTACGAAATGCTTACAAACGACGATTTGACAGCAAACAATGATTTCGAAGATAACAATGCGGCACACGAACGCAAGGAAATCGAAATATCGCTGGTCAGACCACGAACCCCGTCTGCATTGATGTCGAAGTTAATTCAAAACATAGAAGCAGGTCCTGTAACGAACCAATGTGCCAAAACAACCACCGAGAATGTACCCTTGAAGGATAGCGCAGTGCACCCTGTACAGCCAAACAAATCCAAGGTGCCCAGACACGAACAACACGCTGTAAAGAAAACAAACAGTATTAGCACTTGTAGTTCTGAGAATGAAGAAATTGCACGTCATAACCATACTAGATCTCCATCTTTAAAAAGGAGAAAGAGGCACCGAGGGTCTGACAGGGCAACGAAAACTGAGAATAAATTGGAATGTATAAAAGAGACATCAGTGGTAAACATTGTAGAAAAAAAAACCAATAATACGGTGAAACCAATATTGAAGAAGGTTGCTCCAAAACCAGAAACAACCGAACAACACTCGAACCAGGCTTTAATTGGTGAAATTAAATCTCAGAAAGATGTTAATCATGTTGTTGCTGTAACTAATCCAAAATCTTTGTCTGATAATGATAAACCAAATACACCTAGCGGCGAAGAGAGCGAAAAAACTGCTAAACAAACAGAACCGCACATTTCCATCAAGGAAGTTGATAAATCAAAAACAGTAGAAGTGAGCAGTGACAAGTTATTATTAAAAGAGAATGATGATAAAGCATTACCAGCGAATGACATGGACACTGCAAGTTCAGCGGTGAAAACGCAAGAGAATAGAACACCAGAGCAGTCATCCATCTACTCTGACGACAGTACCTGGGATTCTCTTGTTCAGGTCCCGAGTGATGACCAAAAGAAGCCCGCCACGGGTCTTGCTCTTTTAGAGGAAACATACAGGAAAGAAATGGCGAAAACACGGAAAACAAAAGCTGATGCACGAAGGAGAAGGAAGAAGAGAGGAATGCGCGGGCTGTTGTATTCCATAGCCATGTTGACGCCTGAGGAAGAGGAGCTACCACTATCTGCGTTGTATGTTAAAAAGTTACACTCAAAGAAAAAAGCAAATACTTCGGATGAGCAAGCCGAAAAAGCAAACGAGCATCAACTAGATTGGACGAATGTGGATGAAGTAATAAACGCTGTGGCAGAAAACAGATTAGAAGATCTTTATGTGGAAAAACCAGAAGAACCATCAGAGGGAAACAATGAAAGTAATGTACCTGATGTGGATAGTACATTAGCTAACAAAGAACATGTCAATGAACCAGAAATACTCCAAGAACCCGATTCATCGGTAGAAGAAAAGAAAACACTGGTAGTCTCTTTCCCATTGAAAAATATTGAAGAAGACAATCTTGAACTCTCCACTGAACTGTCTGAGTGTCCAACTTCTTCTGATGATAAAATTGATGCAGGTAATAATGTGCAATTAACAGTACCTCTTAGTAATATTCAAGTCCCATCAAACAGCGAAGAACAACCTCAAGGAGACCTGATTAATGTGGAATCACAAGACCCAGAGGCTTCACGTGATGCTACAATGAGTATTGAAACGAACATAATAGAACCTGTACAGCAAACTACAGAAAGTGAAAAACTAGAAATTGAACATGTAACTTCAACAGAAGATAGAGATTTATTTCCAGTAGAATCAGTTACCAACGATACGTACACCGATCAATCAATTTCAAATATACCCGAAGCTGATGTAAATACCGAGAAAACTGAAGAAGAAAACACAGACAAGGAGAATACAGAGTCTGCTCCGATAGAGGATGTTGTTAATGTTGACAGCACTGTATCAGTAAACCCGGAAGAAGTGGCAACAATACCTGATGCACCTGAAAAACGTGACGACAACACAATTAAATCTATTGTGAAGATTATGGTAACTGCAAGTGAGATTTCTATATGTACTCAAAGTGAAAACAATGAACCAAAAAATGTAAATGATGAAACATCTAAGGATTCTTTACCTAAACAAGAGGATCTGTGCGAGAAGGAACATGTACGTGATGATCGTGAAGAGTCAACTGATCCATCTAAAGATGAACATTTCATAAGTTTGAAGGATCATAGAGTATCGCATAGAAGAAGAGAGTCCGAACGATCGAACAAATCGTCTAGTGAAGAGAACAATAACCGTAATCGAACGCCTGTTCCTCATCTTGTCGAGGCTACAGACCCGTCCAAAAGCGACGATACATCGAGCAAAAAGTCGTCTAAGCGTAAGAGGGGAAGTAGCAGAACACCTCTTCGTAGGAGTTCCCGGTACACGGAAGAGACAACAAAACGAATAAAGCTGGAAGTCGACGCGACCGTTCAGCCGCAAGGACAGGACTCTCAGGAAAAAGATGTACAGATACAACTTTCTAGTGTTTCACCTGTACCAGTGTTATCGTCGCACGACGAAGAAACCGAGAATACATCTACAAGCGGTAGAAGAAGTCGTAACCAAAAAACAGCTGGGAACCGGAAACGATGTGTCCCGCCAGAGATTGATGTTCTTCCTAACTCGTCGTCAGTTCGGCACGAAGATTTAAATGGCGTTAAAAGATACAAACAGCATACAATGCCGGAAATGATGAATTGCAAAGTGAGATTGGTGGACTGTAAACACATGATCTTAAAACCGAACGTAGATTCCGATGTGTTACGAAAGTATGGGATTTCTACGATCAACGCGTATGTGCAATCGAATCCCGATCAAGTGGATAATACCTGTTCGACAGTGGAAACGACGTCGTCAACCAAAGACTCGCCAGTGTGCGCACCGAAACCAGCAGCTTCAACAACCGAATCTTCGCAAAGTCGAGTAACAAAATCTCTCAAGAAGTCGGATGATGTGATAAAACCTGTCAGTGACTCGGTCAACGTCAACAGAGAAAGAAGAGGACCGAAATCCATGAAAATGAACTTAACTATGTGCGATAAACAGGAATCTATGGATGATCATAATACCGAAGTTATACCGGTTTTAACGAAAGAACAGGCCGTTGCAGAAATTTCTCAGGATCGTGACAAACCGGATATCGAGATTGTAGAGGAGAAGATGATAGTTACCAAGAATCAACATAATGATTCTAGATCAATGTTGACTGTGATAGAGACAAAGGATGATAAGGATTTACCAAGGACACAATATACGGTCCACAAAGGACCTATTTTAGATATTAAGGTAAAGGGCCGATCGTCTCAAGGCAGAAGAAACTATCATTGTTGAAGTGATGCATGATTGTTCCTGTTTTTCTTGTTTGAACACAATTCATGATAACTTTATTTTTTGTTTTTGTTTTTTTTAACAGTCTTTCTATGTTATTAACAACATACCATGTATATTTGGTTCCTATAAAACGTATTCATCTGTTAAGTATGATACGTTCCAGTCATGTATCTTTTTCTTCCAAATTTTTGTTGTTCCTGGTAGGATCATATACTTACATGATATCTATTTAGCATTTATTATAAGTGTACAAATACATAGGAGTAGCATTAATAAAACCACCAGAGTTTCTAGTTTCCAGAGCTTTTCACTTATTATTCTCCTTTACCTTGGCTTCAACTTATAGTTGTTTCCAATCCTTAGTATATTTCTGATTTTTGTTAATTTTTTTTTTGTTTTGTCATACGAAATGAATGCTCGTGATTAAGGGGATGGTAATTTTTGCCGTACATTGATAATCCGTGTTAAAATTCCAGAAATTCTACTATATTTTAAAGATTAATTATAAAAATAAATGTCTTTTAGGTTTTTGAAAGTTCATTTCTAGCTGCAAGTGAAGATGGCAGAATATATAGATACAGTCAAGCTTCAAACGGAATATTAAATATCTATAAAGGCCATAAAGCAGCTGTGACTTGTTTACACGTCTATAATCCAAATAGCACAGTGGACAATAACAAAGAATGGATGTTCTCCGGTTCGTTAGATGGGACTTTAAGGTGCTACAATATAACAGTAAGTAAACTGTATTTTTTTAAAACATTTGCTATTATATACTACTATTATATATTACGCGTGAATTTTATTAGACTGGACTTCAAGTGAGAGACACAGCGGACATAGGTAGTCCAATACAATGTATGGATGAGGCTTGGGGGATAATCTTCATAGGTACTAAATCCGGCCATGTGTCTCGTTATCATGTCAAGGTTTGTAAAGAACATATTTAAGAACAATCTAGATTCTTTTTCATACATTAGAACACACATGTAACATCTAATTGTTTAATATTTCAGTCGGGTGTTGTAAAAGGAAACAGTATACAATTCTCGGATAAGTCTGTATTAGCTTTAAAAGCAACTAACGAGGGTCCACGAAGAGTTCTCATTGTAGCATCACGTAGCCAACCGATCACGATACGCGATGCACAGAACGGCCTATTTCTTCGCACGATTTGTGGTCAAAAGAATCACACAGTCTACAGTTTGATGCGTGATCATAATTTAATATATTGTGGCACGAGTACTACGTCCATACTTGTCTTTGATTTCACGGTTTGTAAGAAAAACGTCAAGTACAGCGATTCCTCGATTAATGCGACACGAATAACGGCGTTATTCCCACGACTGGGGTGGGGGTGGGGGGTCCCCTTCTGGAACCAATCAAAACAAAATAAGCAGAAGCTCGGCTGACTCAACAAATTGGTGAAAGGCTGAAAACCTCTCCGCCTTGCCACGAATGCTCCGAAGCGAAACCGAGTTTGTCGCACTCATCGAGACATTACTGTACCCTTCTATCGCTTTACGTGTAAAAGATCATTCTTCATTTCACTTCTCTCTTACAGAATGGCGAACAAATGACGCAATACGACGCTGGTGTAGGGATCGTATGTATGCGACTGTACAAAAAATTATTATTTGCTGGTTGTTATGACGGGAATATTTATATATTTGACACAAAGGTTGGTATTAAATTGAAATAAAGTCAAGATAACAATTGCATAAAACGATATACTTCCTTTGCAGGATCATCGACTTGTGTGCAGCATACCAGGACCCGGAAATATGCTTTTAAGCATGGAAGTCATAGACAATAAGGTATTTAAATAATTATCAAAAGACCATAACACTGTTGGGCGTATTCTAACTTTTAAAAAAAATCGTTTACATTTTTAGATTATAGCCGGCAGCAAAGATAAACGTTTGCAGTCGTGGCAAATGCCACGTCAAGTGCGAGCTTTGCTCTAAAAATTCGTGAACCAGGCTTGAACTGATATATTCTAGTCTAGTTGTATTCCCGAGGAAGATTAACCGACTCGCTTTGGAATACATTCAACGTTGGAACTTCTATGAAATGACTGTACAGATTCAAAGGACTTGATTTGTAATATATATACATACATACATAATCTTATTTACGGAAAGATGCACATAAACAGTATAAATACGTTTGTACAGAGAATTAGGTAAATTAAATTATTGGTGATAAGATTATAATACTTACAGTACACTCGAGGATCGTGCTAGAGTCTTGTCTGTAAAAAAAAATGGTAGGGATGTCTTTATTCCATTTTAACGACTCGCGCTACCGAGGGCAAACCTCCTGTGCCTTGTGCGCGTTGCAAAATATATTTCTTTTGGAACTCTTTAATAAAAAAAACACACACACACATACAAACAACGTAAGCGCAACTTCGAAAAAGTGTACCCTTTGTCATAAGAAGAAAGAGAATCTTGAACCTTTGCACTTGTTTTTTCTTGTGTACCTGCATACATGATCGGAGAGCAAACTAGAATATTGTTTTACTATGATATTACATATTTAGCTAGCAGTAAAACGATAATTTTAACTACTAGATTAATTGTTATTTCATAACAGACTCATAGGTGGCTCAAAAGTTTTCATGGTTTCTTCGATGAGTGCAAAGGATTGAGGTGATTGATGGCCAACTAATATAAAAATATTGTTTTAATAACGTAAATAAGAATGATGTTCTTGATTTCTTCAAGGGAATTCTTATCTTTCCATTTGAGGTATCCACCTGTCTGACTAGTGATTGTTACAAGTTCATAAATTTAGTGATTTCTTTATATCTTTTCTTATCACAAGTAATTGATTTCTTCTTTGATGATCTTTTTTTTTAAACATATACCATACATTAGATCTATACAATGATACGTTAAATATTTGAGCATATTCGTTCAACTTTCTTTGTAATTGTGACCTAATTCCGAATTAAATGATTCTTAAGTGGAAAATATTTCTTAATTGTTAATACTCTTTTTCAGTTTGTTAAAAAAGAATGATGTATTTCTACCAATGTTGTAAGTGAGATATCTTAAAATGTGATTGCGATGAAATGTATATGTTAAGATGATTTCTCTACCTTATAAATTACATGAACTGTACAATTTTAAGAAAACGATATCAGATGTAGACGAATTGTGCATGATTCCGTGTTTTCTTGGGTGGTTTACCTCTATAACATATACCATTGCATCCAATACACATTGTACTTATGAAGTTATACAATCATTTATATGCAAACCAATGATCATACTGAGTTGTAGTTTGTATAAGTTCATTGTGTATCTAGTATTTGTTACGTGTAACAATAAAACATTGTTCCCACATCTGTAACAAAATTTGTAGCATTTATTCTCAGAAACGTATTTTCTATGTAAATTAGTGATAGCAATGTACACAATTTTTAATGTTTGTATATTAAATTGTACGAAAGCGTTACGGACAGTTTTATGAAGAACCCATACCGTAAATTGTTATAATTTGTTTTAATTAAAGTATATACAAAAATTATGTTTTATGTCATTTACTTTCTTATGTTTCAACTTATAAATTTCTTACAACCGGTGATTCATTATTATTCAAACCATCTTTGTGTTTTTCTAATAATGAAATAAATACTACTCAATATTGGGGGAGTATTAAATAAATGATTATGTGTGTTCCCTAGAGAAACGTATTTGTTAAATCAATAAATCCTGTACGCATGAACGTAGGATTGAATTGATCGCATAAAAATCTAAAAATTCCCGAATCAATTACAAAAAAAATGTGCCTCTGTCTTGGTCCTGCGAAATCTGGCAAAACCTTTTTAATGAAACGTTTACAAGGAGATGATGTGGACGACGCAACGCATACTGTGTCTACTAATGGCATAAATCTTTTTATAATAAAAAATTGCACCGGTGAATTTGATATGATTGTTAAAGAAATTGGTGGCAATATGGCACTAATATGGAAGCATTACTTTGATAAGGTAAATATAAACGGTAATTACTGTAATAAAAAGTGAATTAACTTTTCATACGCCCAGTAACAATTTTTCGAATTATTAGATACGGAAACTTATTTACGTGGTGGACGCGAGCAATTTGTGTCAAATAAGTGCGGCGGGAGTACTACTCTATTCTTTATTAGTTGAACCCAGGTTGCGAACTGTAAAAATTGCATTAACTCTCAATAAAATGGATCTTTCTTATCGACAAATGCGTAATGAAGCCTTACTCATGCTTCAATATTCGCGTCTACAAAAAGAAGTTACACAACAACTCACCATATTCGAGACCAGTGGTATGACTGGTCAAGGTATAGAAGAACTAAGAAACTGGTTATTCGATCCGGCCACGTTAAAAGCTGCAATAGACGCAAATAAATAGAACTGTCATGAAAATGGACACTTCCTTTCATATATTATGTATTTCTTACACTTAAATGTTACAAACATACAGGCATTCTATGGATTACATTTCTTTTTTCTTCAATTAACGCCACTTTAAAATAACTTTGTTGCCAATCGTTTGTCGCATTATTACGTTTATCACGCTCGAGCATAGAAATACTGTCAAACGAGAAATTAGATACTTAGTACTGAGCGTGATGAGTTGTAGCTTAGTGATTTGATGCTTAATCTGACGAGACTTGATTAACTTATACACGCCTTGACGTAATATTTCCGAACCGTTCAAGACAGAAAAGGCAATTACTATTGACAAAGAAGTTTTGTATTTAGTTAAAATAAGTACTATTACTCGATTATTACTCAGTACCATAAAAAGAAGTTCGTTATGCGAGTATGAGTTCAGAAACATTTGTAGAAGAAACGGATGAGAGATTCGTACGAACAATGCATTCTTAATGCAAGCTCAGATACCTTTTTGACCAACTTCCACGTACACATGTACAGGCAATTGAAAGAAATTATCATGTAAATGTAATATGAATTAAGATACAAGAGCACAGAGGTATACGTCAATGAAAAACAATCTTTCATAGAAAAAAGAAAATAAACAAATATACCTTCCAGCTTTCTTGTACTATCAGCTATCAGTGATAAATAGGTAAGCTGTATATACATTTTTCACTTGTTTCCCAAATATTTAAGAGTTTCCTTATCAACTTATTTATCTGTAGACTTCTCAAAATATAATAAACTATACAAATCAGCCATATGTAAATTTTTTAATGTATTCTTGTAAGGTCTTCTACTATTTTTACAAGATCATCTACCGTTGCTTCTTTCTTCATACCGTTACCATCGTCGATCTGCAAAAAAGAGCCAAAAATAGATTAGAAGTACAATAGAATATATCTACACGCACACTGGACAAACAAAACGATTTACCATAAGACCCATCGCAACTTCTGCCATTTTATCAGGGCTCAAGTCAAGAAAACTTTCAATTAAATCTCCATCGATAAAACCTTCGCACTGTTCTATTTTCAATTCGGTATTAAAACTTCTCCAAAAGTTGTGTTCTATTTTACCAACGCTCTTTATGGCGCTGGTTAATCTGTCCTCGAGGCTTCGTAAGAATTCATAAAATGTGAATGGAATTTGTGTAACTAAACCGATTGCCCCGCTAACAGTTCCAAATAACACACAGCCCTGTGTGGGTGTACTTGATTCACCCAAGTTCTGCATCACTAACGACCCATGTCGGAACACATTAACCATATCACCTAAATGAAATTGTCCAACCTCCTGCATTTGTTGTCTCTCATCTTCCGAAGTCGCGGCACTAAAAAAAAATACGTTTTGAGTACTGTACAGTGCAGACTACTTAAAGGAAAAGGGAAAAGGAAAAAAGAAAAAAAAAGACAAACAAACTATATATGAATTTTTAAACTTTACCTATCCTTCTGACAGACAAACAGATTAAAGCAATTTTCAGCACCCAAGAAAGTGTCATCGTCTAAAATTTCAATAGCAGTCATCCAGTTCGGATTGTAATCCCTTGCTATTTCTTCAAAGCTACCTTCCATCGTTTTATATTGTAGTAACGTAAGAGATCTCATGAGATCTCCAACGAGAACGAAGTCACCTTTCGTTTTCAAGTAGAGTGCAATGATATTGTTGAAATGGCTGCACTCCAACCTAAGCTCTTTTTCCGCGGTCCACTCGAATAAACGAACAGTGCTGTTAATACTGGCAAGAAGTTTTCCATTGAATTCAACCAAAGAATAACATGAACCTTTGATCTCCTTTTCAGCTACTTGTATGAGCTTTCCATCGTTCCAATGATACAAAAGTATTCTGCCCATTTTTGGCTCTGTCTCATCCGGATTAATGAGCGCAGTCCCAACCACATAATAGGATGTGGGATCCTCGCCCAATTTGGTAGATATCAACGATAACGCGTACTCGGCGGGCATTAACATATGTGCATGTAAAACTTCAAAAGTATGCTGGTCTATGATGAGTAAATTATGTACCTCAATTTCTTGGCCGATTTCACTAGCTGTATGCCCTGTAGGCTTATTATGAGACGCGATCAGACTAGTGCTAGATGTGGAAGTTGCTTGTGTAGACGTAGAAGCTGCCTGAGTAGACGCAGAAGGTCTTACAATACCGACACCGCTGCTATCTTGGATATCGACCCGCATTGTTATTACTCCGAACGTTTGGGAGCTTTCTTGATAAGCAATTCGTCTGGGCGATTCACCGAGAGGTACGGTTCGAATATGCAACTTTTGTATTTCGTCGATTGTTCCTATTGTCACGGTACTGTCGGTCGCTAACGCTAAACTGTCGGGATACGACTCTGCGTTTAATGAGCACATATGATTTACTTCCTTTAAGTTAACATTGCTGAATACAAGTTTATGATTCGACGAATAAATTACGGTCGGTCTGTCAGAGCATGCAAAGACATTTGTGGTGGATAGTGATCTAAAAGTCCTTAGAACCGTTGGTTGTGTGCCTAACGTAACTTTCTTTTTATCCGAAAGTATACCACTCTGTTTGTGTAAGGTGAAGTAATACATGCTACCGTCACCAAGGGCACAGAGAAGATACGTGTTACCCTCGAAACACGTCATTAAAATAGATCTGGGTATGATTTCACCTCCGAGCAATTCTTTATTGATTTCTTCTAAAGCAGGCAACGTTAATATGCGAACAGAAATGTCTGTCCACAATCCTACTGCGGCTATCTTTGCGTCGGTATGACCATCCAATGGAGAGATATCTAGACAAGCTACCTCGTACTGCAAACTGGCAAAACCTTTTGGTACAATCTGTCCGTCTATAATTTCCATGTAAAACAAATCGTTACCAGTAGCGCAAAGTACTTGTGTTCCATTGCAAGCAACAACACTGATTGTTCTTTTGTTATCCGGTTCCCATTCCGAAACAACGGTTTTCGTTTCGTGTGAAATCAATCTGGCGGATATCGGTGTTATCTGGACAAATAAATCATTCGTAACATTTCCGGTATGGAAAGTCTGTTCGTCGGCAACAAAGCCTGGGATATCTGTTTCCTCGACTTCCTCTCCGTTTAACGTTAAGATTCTAGTTTGTCCGACAAAAGACAGGACTAAGGTATTGTCGAAATTACCGCCACCAACTTTTAACGCCCACATACCTTTGATACCTGGTAAATCTATGCTTGCATGTTCTTCGATACCAATCCCATTTCTGATGATCCTAAGTGAACCCTCTTTAAAAGCTCCAGAGCATGTAACCATCTGTCCTTGACCTTGTCTTTCGAGATCGACCACAGCCATGTCAACGATCGGTGCCAAGTTAATAAAAGTTTCCATTGGTACACAATACGAACCGTTCTCGTCCGCTTTTGTGATTAATTTGATTAATTGCGAATCGCCAAGACGGCTGCCAACAAATATTACACCATTGTCCAAGTAAGTAATACATTCCGGTATACTGATTTCTCCTAAAAGTTCAACCTTCAAATCTTTCACTACTACTGTACCGTCCGTTTTCTTTTCTTGTTCTAAGAACAACATGAATAAATGTCCAGCCATATCTCCTAATAAATATCTAAGTCCTTGGTTATCAACCTTAGCATAGCATGTGATTGTACTCTGTTTAATGATTGGAGGCACAACAGCAACATATGTGGTCCCATTGTGGTACAGTATACTCTCTTGGCCTATGATTATAGCACCACAGATAGGAGAAGGAATAGGAATGACTATCATAGCCTCGCGTTCTACATTGTCCTGTCGCCATGGCATTTTAACGAATTCCTTATCTCTCAATGAAATTTCATGTGTCTTAACATGTCTGCCATTAATATCTTGATGGATTAGAATTAAAGTAGGATTAACACATCCATGAAGAAAATTTACATCTTGCACTTGCTGTTCATCCATACGTATGGATGATGCTTTCAATTCTGGATTATCCTTGTCAAGTGGTATAATTTTGAAAAGGCCATCGTACAATCGAAGTCCGATTACACGTGCTTTAGGATCAATTACAGCTTTAATTCCTGTTTCAGAAGCTTTGCCAATACGGTCTGCCACATTTCCATGAGCCTTTGTTATAATCTCTATATCTTCTCCTTCTCCAATACATTCCAGAATCATAGCATTATAGCGTGTGGTTAATAGGAACAACAGATCTTTCTTCTCATTCTATAGGAACAATAAAATTTGTTAACTGTATGTTAGTTTATTATGTCATAGTTTAGAATCAGAAATTTTTACTTCAATACTTTCATGCATTATCATTTTATATGTTTATAACATTTTTTAACATTTATGACATTGGATTTTATGTATTTTTATATCGTTTTTAAAAAACGATATAATAAAAAGTTTAATCAGAACCCCTTAGAATAAAAACTGTTAACAGAGTAAATTGTTTGATTACAGTTGCAGAAATTATTCCAGGAAAATCTACATTTTTGTAAATGTCCTGGATCTAAACACCACATATAACAATAGCGATAATTTAAATTAAAGTTCTACATAAAAAGTATTGCAAATGACTATTCAATATAATAAATAAATACCAGTGAATTTTATCAGAAAAATCCAATGATTCCTAACAGTCATAAGTAAGGATGCTAGTATAACCTTACCGGTGGTCTGAAAAACTTAACGACTGCGATTTTCCCATAAATTCCAACATCTTTCAGTGGCCTCAAACCTTCCGGAGTGACCAGATAAATTTCTAGTCGAACATTCTTCGCCAGGATTAAATTCAAATCCGTTGGCGAAGTGAAATTACCTTGATTAGTAAAAATAAAATAATCGTTTATTATCGTATAATCATTGTGCTCGATGAAACGTTTTTACTCACCGGTGACACACGCGGTGACAGCCGTTGGCTTATGTGCCGTCACAACATAATGATGAGACATTGCTTTCATACTATTCTGTCCGACAACAACTTTTATGTATTCGTTAACAATTTAATAGAAAAGTAGAAAGTATACACACGACCAAACGTTGGCCTTGCGTGCCTTTTCAATTTGACGTGCCATGAAGTTGGCAACGTTTCATAGGACACTAAGCCCGATTCACACAGCACAAGTATTTCAAGGTGTTCCTACTTTAGGCTGTGCAAGTTGCAAGCGTTGCAACTGCTTGAAACGAATTTTAGGGGAACGAAATAAAGGAGCGTCGATTCGCCCGATTCGCCTTTCCAATTGCTTCCAACCCGATGGTCGTAATTGGTAGTATCGTCGTATGCGCCAGTATGCGCAGCCAAACATACGTCGTACGTTCGTACGGATCTACGAATTTTCGACTTTATATCAACCTACGGTACATATTTTGAATAAATATTATATCGTTATTACATTTTAACGTTTTCTATAATAGTTTTTTTTGTTTTATGTATGTATTTGTTTATTTCATGTATGAATATTAGGATGTAAAATGATTCTTGCTGAAGCCGATGACACAGCATATGGGTCACGTAAAGCTGAGTCGTAAATATTACCGATTATTCTTGTAAAAATACGTCGGTCACAAATGTGTTAATGCACGAATCGTTGAAGAATATGATTTATCCTTTTAACTGCTCAACATGTTTTTTTCGTAAATTTAACTTCAATTAAACGAAATTGAACAAAGCTTCTTTAGAACTCAAAAGTTACGTGTTAGCGTTTCCACATCTAAAGATTCAATATCTTTTTATTTAATTATGAACAAACAACAAGTTACCTTTTCCTATTGAATTATGTTTTCTGAAGTTCCAATAATTCCATATTAGGTAAACACTATGTTATATGTCAAAAATGTTTTTATTAACTTCAAGAATGTTGTTTTAATTTTAAAAGAACCATACTTTGGCAATTTCACAATGAAACATATTCACATGGTACAAGACTTTTAAATGCAGTTTGTTTCTTTTTTATTATATTTTAGAGGAATAATCATAACAAAAAAAGACTAATTTTGGTAAAAATGTAAAATGTGAAATATCTTAATACATTGTATACTCAGACCATAAACTAATACCTAATCTTACATTACAAATTTTTACAATTGTACAATGCTTATAACATAAATTATATAAGTATAATTATTACATTGTATCTTTTATTGTGTCTAGATAGATACTTTATGATTCATTAGCTGATGGTCTGTATAACACAAAATTTATATATTCAGTATTCTGAAATGGCAGTTCAGAAGGAATGGGATGTTAAAAAGTGATTAGTTCAACTGCATTGTAATTAGTACCAAATGAAGCAAGACAAAATAATATTATACAATATGTACTACAAATATGCAACATTTTTGCAATTTCATTAAGCGAGTAACAACATAGCCTGCACAGACATAAATTTTGGTCTTCCATAAGATCGGGTATGTACTTCGTACTTGATTACATGTTTCTTTTTACACACAAAGAATCTCAAAAGATACGTGGAAAGTAAATTATAAGAGTGCAAAGAATATAATTGTCTAAGATTGTATAACTATAACTGATGTGAGAAAGAGGGATCACTTGTTGCTTAAATGCAACTACATTAATTTAAACCAGTCTTGTTAGATTGGTAGGATTAAAAAAAATATGCAAGACCAATGACATATTCAACATGACTTGCACGTTGATCTTTGAAACATTGAATAGACTTTTTAATATAAAAACAGCTCATTATAATTTATGGGGAGGAATCGGAAAGATCATAAGTATCACAAATATAAAACTGTTTTACATGATCATCTGAACGATCAACTTGAGTTACAGATTCGTTAGAACTCTCATACGAGATACTACTACTACTACTACTGCTGCTACTACTACTACTATCAATAGACACTGAATTATTTGTCCTGCTTTTACCTTCCTCCACTAAATTACTCTTCTCTAATCTAAGCCCATTGTCTGCAAGTCCTGAACTCTTATATGAGGTAGTACTACTACTACTACCATCAGTAGACACTGAATTATTTGTCCTGCTTTTACCTTCCTCCACTGAATTACTCTTCTCTAATCTAAGCTCATTGTCTGCAAGCCCTGTACTTTCATATGAGGTGGTGGTGGTACTACTACTATGAGTAGCCACTGAATTATTTGTCCTGCTTTTACCTCCCTCTGCTGAATTATTCTTTTCTAATCTAAACCCATTATCCACAGGTTCTGAGGAGTTAGAACTCGAAAAGTTGCAGTCGCATCTGCTTTTATTCCCATTACTTGTACTATCACTATCGCTTTCGCTATCAACACTTGAAACCGGACTGCCGTGTCTTTGAGCCCTCAACGAATCATTCTCTCGTTTCAGCTGTTCATTTTGTTGCGTCAGATCGTCAATTCGTTGTTGGCAGATTTTTAATTTTTTTGTCGACTCCGAATCTGTACTACTACTTTGGCTCTCTAAGTCTCGTTCTTCCGACTGGTGAAAATTTTTCCCACGTAACCGTTTTGTCAGTAAATCGACTTTGGCCTCCAATTGAATGTATTCTTGTATCAGTTCTGATTTACTTAATGTACTCAACCTTTCTGCGTGAAGAGTTTCATACGCTGTTGAGAATTCCTTTGTCAAAAATTCTTCTTCGTTTTCCGGCGATGAGTAAAAGTAATCCTCGTCTGAATCTACACTGAAACTTGAGTCTCTAGTACGAGTTTGAGCTGATGGTTTCTGAAATGTAGCAGGAATTTCAGAAGAAACAGCTTTCGAGAGTTTCTGGTCAAGGTCTGGAAGATCACTGTGATCATTCATAAGAAATTGTGTAGTATTATATGGTGCTGGTGGTTGTCTACCAGTTTTTGCTAATCGATCTCTGGATCTATATCTTAGTTGCTGCTGATAGGATAACTGTTGTTTTGAATACGGCTTTAGTTTTCTATGCTTAGGTTTACCTCTGCGAGTCTTTCTCTTTTTAGCTGCAATATCATTTCCATCTTCATGATGACATCCCTCTTGATCTCCGCTGCCACTCCCACTCTCAAATATTCCGACATTGTTTATCACTGATTTAATATACTAAAACATAAAAAAAAGTATGTCAATTTTTAATATTCAATCCATTTAAAGCTGTTGAATAATAAACATTTTGTGTGCACGAACATTTAAATAATACGATTAGGGAAATAATACCAATTTATTACTATTATATTAATATTTACTACTGTGACATAACACCAATAATATTTCTTTACTCAATATAACAAATCGAACGACAATAAAATAAAGTAAAAAGTAGGCAACGATGGAGTTCAGTGAATAACGAACGTTGTTATTAAATCTAACCCGATTGTGTAATTATTCACCATGGTCGATCTGGTGTAAAATAATGCTTCAAATAATCAGATTAAAAACAAAATCGTGTGACTAAATGCAAGAGAGTTTAAATTTGAAATTGTTACGTGATGTATCCGTTCTTGATAAGCATTTTCGAATACGGAAACTGGTGGTGGTCTTACAGTTGTTTTGTTGATGTAGGTGCCCTCGTTGATGTTTTCGCCAGTAGAGTGCGATTCCTGTTCTGAGGCTGGCAACGATGACGCCGCAGGCGTCGGCTCTGCTTTTACGCCCTTCACGTCACGTAGCCCGTCGATGCCGCCAGACACTTTCTCTATCGACGTCTTGTCATTCTGAATCTCCATGTTTGTGATATTATCTAAAATCTGGCGATTTACAGTGGTACAAGCACACATTACCGTATTAAAAAACACTGCCTCGTCCAACGATATTCATCCGCTCCCATTCCACGAACCGTACGCCTTTACCGCAAACAGCGACTGAATCGCCATGTTTGATTTGTCCGTGATTCCGGAGCGATAGCGAAGCGCGACGTGCTAACGTTTTAGAGGAGTAGGGAGATTTGCCCGTGGAGTGGGGCAAAACGTATTTGTCCCCACCGTGCCTCCGTTCCCTCACCCCCTCTTGCCAGTCGAGTTTACTCCCTGTGAGAGAAAAGACTATGGCGACTAGTCTCTTGCACACTGCACCCTTACACCGTTAATTTGATGTTTATTACGTAGCAGAGAGAGAACGAAGGGAACGATAAGCCGTACAACAAGTACACATGGTGCAAGCTTGTTCGAATATTAATAGAATTTTCGTTCGGTTGTACGCGTATTCAAAGTTTCAGGATGCAACGAAAAGGTACAAATCGACATGATTCCCCAATGTAAATTATAGCATACACGGATGATGTTCTTTTAAATCTCGATGATTATATTGTGCAAATACTTCTCTGTGAGTGTAGGAGTTTACTGTTCTCACGAACAGAATTTTCGTTACGACAAGCTCGTTCAACTTCGTCGGATTGTGTGTTTGATGAACAATACTGACATTAACTCCGTAACGTTCCTATACATACGTCTCTCTCTCCTTAATTTTGCTGAATAGAAACCTCCGATCCTGGCAATGCTCGATCGAATCGGGTAAACTCGACCTGTAAATCGTAAATAGAAAGTGGTTGTCTTCCCCGCGGAGCTACTGGTATTTAATTAGAAGTAACGTTTCTTCTGGTTTCGTGTGAAACACGACGAAACCCGCGTGTCATTGCACAGATTGTGGTTCGTGCAATAACGTTCTCCTACGCTTGGAATGATAAACCTGTTTTTTTTCCCTAATGCTACGTAGTTTCGGTATTAATTCGTCGGTATATCGTTGGGCCGTTCGAAACTTTCTTAACGTTGTCAATTACTAGAGACGATTAATATTATCATTCTTGTACGTTACTAAATTGTTTCCTTTATTATGTTACTTACATAAGAGACAACAAAGTAGAGTGTCACATACTCGCGAGGCCATCTGGTTGAGTTTCGTACGGGTAACCAATAGCTACAAAATCGTGAGTTTCGAAAAGAAAACTGTAACTGTTGTTTGTTGTCTGTTACATTAAAAATTTACAGATCTTTATCCGGATCACTCATTAGAAAAACGCGTGAAAGTCCATAGACCACGAAGGAACGGGGATTAGGTAAAACGATGTAGCTAAATTGTTTGCTAAATCGGAGCGCTGTATTTGGTTTGACACATATATACATATATGCGTGTCGACCTACTTTGCACATACACACTTACATATAATTATATTATAGCTTATTATACGCAATCAATTTCATACTTGCAATCCGATAGCCACATACAAGATTTCCTTTCACACGTATGGATATATGTACGGTCAGGGAACAATATCTCTCGTTCTGACTTTGAGCTGGGTGCTTGGCTATCGGAACTCTTATTTACATTAGACTAACTGAAGCTCGAAAAGATGTGACAAGGTGGAAGCAACGTGTGCAACAAAGTGTACCCTCTAATATGTTTGATCATTAGAGAAAAAAAATTTCTATTTGGATAAATATTTTCGAATTGCGAGTAATGAATAGAGGTTTCGCTTATAAAACAGGATACAAGTAACCGTTTGATCGTATACAATCTGTTAGAATGCTTATTTCCGTCGGACACATCCTTAACGATCGGGAGCATTTTTTTTATGCGATACTAATGGGTTTCGAGTGTCCATGAGCGTACTGGATAATACGACATTGCTACAGAATATACGGTGAAATTGGCAGTAGTGGAACACGACGGTGGGTAGCAAGTATTATGAATACAAATATATTTAGCAATGTTAGTTTGACGAGATATCCGCTCCAGTCAAGCGGTCTACGGATGAATTACATTCCTACCACAATATAGCACGAAATAACGAAGAGGCTTTCGGCGTTTTCGGAAAGAAAAATGATAGTGGTGCGCTTGTGAAGGATTTCCTTTGTTCGTTCAATGCACGTATTATTGATTGTTTCTGTATACATGTTTTACCACGCCGTGATTCGGTATAATGAGCTTTCCTCTATCTCTCTCTGTCTCTCACACACACGCGCGCGCACACACACATATACATACATACACACACACACACAGAACAAACGTGACAGAGAATGTTTATGAGCGATTTACCACTTCCGGTTGTTTAACATACATACATACACACACACAGAACAAACGTGACAGAGAATGTTTATGAGCGATTTACCACTTCCGGTTGTTTAACAGAAATATCGATCGTATCTGATGTTTCCATTACATGAATCTGGTTGAGTTTTTCTTTTTACGACAATATTGATCTTATGCATATATTGATGACTTCATATATGAATTCCATCCTATTTATTTGACCAGCTCGGAAATTGAAGAACATAAATATGTATTTCGATATACAGAGACGTACCAAAAGGTAAACATTAGTAGATATAAATGAACTTTTCTTCCTCGAATATTTTTGTCCCTCACTGTATAATAACAATGTATACATTGATATGTTAGTTGTGCACACTATGCACATTTAACAATTCAAATTTGCAATATACATTTCTACACACTTCTGTGTGTATACAGGTGTATGGATTCAGGCGTAAAACATGTATTCGCGGACGTAGTGACCAATTCGGGCACAAAGAATTTACATTTCAAGAAAAAAGTCCTAGGAAGGTGGTACAGGAGAGTCTCCTACATAGAGGACGTATTTATAGTTGCGCTAGTCACATACGTATGTATGTTGTTCCTTCCTTAAATAGGTGGTGTAGATACTATTGTGTATTGCATACATGCCTTTCTCGCATAACACGTACAATTTATTGCTGTTATCGAAATTAATAATTAGTTTACGGATATTTATGTGTTTGTAATACAACGACTGTGCACAGCAATACATGTACGTAGCAACATGTAGCAATACTGAGTGTGCACAGAAGATAATAAAAATTCCGTAATAATATCGATAAGATGCACAGAACTTTTTGTCCCTCTACATTGTTCAATAAATGAATCGCGTGATACTTTTACTACTCTATTTATCATTAGAAGTGTTTGAATTTTTTACTTTGGCAAAACTCTCCTATGCAGAATTTGTATTAAAAGAGAGACGCTACAAGTCATGGGGAACACAGTAACAAAATGAATAGTGAAATGACGGGAGGAGATATTGTCTTGCACGGGTACAATCTGCGTAGTAGCCACTTCTCCAGACTGGATTGGATATACATAAATGCGCCTCCTCTACTTATACGCGCGCTATCTTCGTTTCGAACCTACTTTCCGTCCAGCTCTCTCGATGTAAATGCGTTCTAGTCGAAGGAGCCACGGAGTCGTTTCATAGCTAATCATCACCACCATCACCAGGAGTCGCGTGTCACAGTTCTGAACGAAATACACCGTGTTTATACTTTTCAATCGTTCCGAAATCAACCCCCTTCCACCCCACCTTCCTGTACTTCGTAACTTAATTCCAGTTTACGTAATTATAATTTCAAGACGTATGCACAACGCAGATTTTATACGTGTATGTGTAATTAAGTTTAACGGAATTTTGTTGAGCCTAACGTAGCAACTAAATGCTACTTGTAATAGTTAGTAAAGAATACTATCAAATTGTTGTAAATTGGAATTGAAATACAGACTGACAAAAAAACTGTTACACAGTGAATTATTTAAGATATCTTTAATATGTTCATTTTTATAATAAAAATTCAGGTGATTTGTCTGGCTTTTGAGAAGTACATATACTATTTGTATTTAGTGTATACCGCTGAATACTCCACAATTTTTTGACAAGTTTAGTATACAGTTTTAATGAAATCAAAGGTCTATATCTTAACAATATTGGACCGTCGAAAACGACATTCGTCAACAATGTCTACTGCCTGACCCTTAAGTAAATAACCAAAATTTAAGGTCGTAATAAAAAAAATTCAACACAAGACAGGACGATTTTCAAAAGTCTAGCGTTCTCGATTTTTCAAGACTACGACGATTTATATAAACCGGACGATTATTTGTTATGTAATGCAATGTAATGTACCATGGACTAACTCGTAACAGGTATAAGGTCAATAACCAGTTAGTTGAATAACGATAACGAATTATAACTAAGCACGTTAATGTAAGTGTCATATATCAAAATACTGCAAATCAAAACGTAAACAAAATAATGATTCTGAAAACAAAGATAATAAAGCTATGCAAGCTACGGCTTTGAAAGCAAATTTGCAGAAACCAGGGACATGGTGTCTAGACAGCGGTGCCACAATGCATATGTGCAACAACGAAAGAAGGTTCGAGAATTTAGATAAAGAACAGACCACAAAGATATACACTGCTACCGAAAGTAATGTAGACTCCAAGGGAACAGGAGATGTACAAATAAAAGTTCGAACCTTAGGCGACAAATCTGGAAACATCAGGTTAGAAAATGCAATACTCGTCCCAGATTTTAAAAGCAATTTATTGTCAGTAACCAGCATCACAGATCACGGATATAAGGTAATCTTCCACAAGAATTATGCAAACGTAGTCAAAGAAAATGGAAGAAGTGACGGCCCTGTATGTATGAAAGCAAAGAGGGAGGATGGTCTGTATTTAGTTGAAGAAACAACTACGTTTAGCTCAGATGATAATGTATGTCATGTATTTCGTCTGTGTGCTACTTGCCAGTGCGGACATGATACTTCGGGGGTTGCGTCACATGAGCGACGCTAGCACATATGATGTTATGTCCAAAAATGGGACAATGATACAACGATTCTACAGTTTTCCGGAACTTCAACTGGGATTGGAACGTTTAAACGTTTCAATCTCCAGCATTATTGAAGCCAACGATAAGAGATGGATTCCCCAATACGAGAAGGTTTTAGTAATGACACGCGACATTTTTGAAATTGTTATGATGGCTGCTGTATTGGTTATAAGCACCGTCAGAGAACGGCTGCGCAATAAGAAGGACAAAATAGAGGAACAAATAATGGTGGACTTAGGAGTGCGCGCCTTGGCCAGACATGGCAAAGACGCGAGGCTAGTGCGCGGCCAACTCAAGGAGGCTGACCGCGTGCTTTAGAGACTTACGGAATTTCCGGCGTGTGTGACTCGGATATTGTACAACATTGTGTATAATAAATACTTTCACTTTTCACCATACAATAATCGTCTTCCATTCGGTCCTCCACGGACAAAAGTCCAACATGAATGTTGAATGTCAATACGATGCACGTCAAATTATATCGTATAATAGCATTTGAATGAATAATCAAGATATTTAATTTTTTTTATACAATAGAATGTACATATAGCTGTTTGTAGAAGGAAATAGATACACATCACTCAATAATTTACCAGGCAAATTAAAAAACAGACACCATTGCACAAATGTGGATTTTACATTCAGTTGGAATAACATAGGTATATAAATGCCTATCCCTGTGGACCGGGGAATAGAGAATACGGCCACGGTAATCCCTGCCTGTCGTAAGAGGCGACTAAAAGGGAGAGGTGGAGACCGCGGGACTGTGGCACCCGCGGTCCAACGGTGGG